TATATGATTATTAATACTCCTTCAACTGTTACATTTCCATTGAGGACTTTATATGTGGCAGGCACTGAAGCAAGTACATTAACAATAACTTGCTGCTATATAGAGACTATTATTCTGACTTACATATGAGAAAACTGAAGCTGAACTGAAGCTAAAGAACTTGAATAGCTGTCTACTGTCATGCAGCTAGAAAGAGTGCCACACCTCTCGCAAGTACTTGAACACCTAACCTCTAATTACAATGCACTGGAGACTAATGCTTTTAATAATAAACATCCATTCTTACAATTGGCACAGACAACAAAGGCGCTAAAGCATCTAGACCCACGTCACAGGAGAACTGATGTGACATCCCGAATGCTACAAAGAAGATCTCTTCAAAGAGTCTACGTGCCAGCTAAGGTTTGCCATGATGTCCTTTAAAATTTGCCCTGATGGAAATACACTTATTCATTGAACTAATACTTATTGAATAAATAACTCAGAGACAAGAAACCATTTCAAGCCAATACACACTTAAGATAAAGGATATGAATTTTCGTTGGAGAATAAAGGGGGCAAACAGAATGCTAATGAAATAACCCAGGTAAAAATGATAAAGGTCTGGATGAAAAGAGTAGCCGTCAGATGAGGAAGAGCAGCGTGGGCACAGAGATCCTGCGGAACCGGAGGAACTCCTGTAACCAACCGTTAAGGGATGGTAGGGTGAAATATAAGGTTACTGCTGGGATTCCGCCAGGCGGATAGATGGCGGCGCCACAGGACAACGTGGAAAATAAAGAACGAGAAAATGAGATTTTGTGAGAAGGATGGTGAATTTTGTTTCAGACCCTGAAATGAAGTTCCTCTAGCTTTCCAGTTAGAGGTAGAAATATGGCTTTGGAGTTTCAGATTAGAGGTATAAATTAGGGAGTTAATGGCAAAGAGAGTAACTGAAGCCCAGGGAAACAAGATAAAGGCAGGAGTGACAGAATATCAGCGTGAGAGCTGGGGAGGAAATAAGGGTGGTGATGGAGACCACAGGATCTGACAGGTAAGCGGGGGATGCAGGGAGGAACAGGGCTGCTCCCTCCACACACAGCACTGACAGAATTATGTTCTATCCTTCATCAAGCCCCACCGTTCTTCGCTCCCTTGGGAAACCGAGAAGGTTGATAGTATCTGGTCGTCCAAACACCATCAAGCTTGAACCGCATTTATAAACATGAAGCAGAGACTCAAAATTTGGAACTTTTTGAGAACATGCTTTAAAGTGAGAGAATCCACAAAAAGATATCTCTATTTGCCCAAGTGCCAAGAAGTGCTTGCCTTTTTATCCTATATTAGTATGAGTCATGTCACCAAAAAGATTACCTCATTCTGTTACAGCATTTCAAACAGTGAACATTATTTTTCAAGTAAACTCTATTTTGGAATAATTATAGATTTGGCAAAAAGTTGCAATGATAGTACACAGAATACACACTTCACTCAGTTTCTACCAATAAACATGGCCGATGGCATAAAGAGCCATGGCGCACTCGTCACGACGGAGACTGGCACTGGGGACACCCTAACCGCCGGGTTTCGGGCTCAGGTGTGTTTCACAGCATCAGGACATAGTGAGGAACATGAAAACAAAGCATCACAAAGCCACGTGTGTCAGAGAACCTTCTTGCCCATGAATAAATATTGGGGGTGAGCAGGTTTAAAACAGACAAATAAATAAAATTTAGGGAAATTTTTTAAAAAAATAATGTCATGTGCTGGAGAGTAAACTCCTCTCGGATGAGAACAGGTCCTAATCCAAATTCTATAAAATTCTAATATGTTACACTGTATAGTTACTTAACATATTAAATGCTACTTTAATTCAATTTATTTGTTATAATTAGCATTGTAGAGAATATGCTAATAAGATCAGCTTTTACTATAAAACATAGATGCTTTGATTACAAATTCCTATTTATAACATAAGTGGAAAAGCCGAAATGCACGGTGATCTGATCAGACTTAGTGCTTGGCTGAGGGTGAAGGATATCTGGACACAGGTCACGAGGACGCAGGGAGACAATTTTAAAGGCCCTCATGAGGCTCTCATCTGAGGGTGGGGGTGTGTGGAGAGAAACCTGGTCTTAATTCCCTTTCTACTCCTAATCATGCTTTTCTCCACTACTACCTGAAATGTGTTGCAACCTTGTTCTTCCAGGTTAAATGTTAAATCAGGTGGATGCTCAAGACACTTTATTTGGTCAGATTTAACAGAAATCTGAATGGGAGCTACCTGGGAAGGTTTTCACTGTGAGTAATGTGCCGTTCAGTTTACCCAACTACACTTTTTAAAGCCCCAAACCCATCACACTGTTCGCCCTCCATCTCAAACCCTTCAGACACCGGCCGCCGGCTCCCTGGGGCGCCATCCATCCTGTGTGCACAGTGGTCCTCCCCGCACACACTTCTCCCTCTTCCCTTCTAACCGCTATTTGTTCGTTACGTCTCAGTTTCTCTCAAAAGCCTTTGCACAACTGTGTTTCGTTTTCCTCTCTCGCCTGTTCCCATGGTGCTCACACGGACCCAGCATCCTCAGGGCACGCCTTACATGCCAAGTGCTGCTGTCTAATTGTGAACCAGACAAACCCGGCACCGGCTCCAAGCGCTGCACAGTCTAGCGGGAGAGAAAGGCTTCAGGACACAACAAGGAGCAATTAACAAAATCAGCAGAAGTGTCCGAAGTGCCTTACAGGACAAAAGGGGCACACAGAGACAGAGCAGCGGGACCTAACCTGGGGGGCGGTGAGGGAAAGTCCGCCTTAATTTAGCACGTCAGATAGACTCCACCATCGCGGTCTAGGCAAAGAGGAGGAAAATACAGAAAATATTCACATATTCTCGGCAAGGGGGCAACATAGGCAACGGCACCTCAAGGCGGGCAGAAGAGAGAACACGGCCTAGTTCAGGAACACAAAGTGCAGTACAACATGAGGCTGGAGCCGCCCTGGGCCCAAGGCATGCCAAGCAAGGCCTACGGCAGCCGGGGGTGGGAGGGGCACGCCGCTCGCTGTCCCCAAAGAGCGCCTGCTGTCTGGCTGGGAGGGCGCTGGCTGCCATGACCCTGAAGGATGCAGCAAAACGTGCCACCAAGGCCACACTCCTCGCAGCTGCCTCCACTCCGTGGCTATACAGCGGGAGTCTGGCCCTTTCTCGCCAATGCAGGAGTCCTCTAGCAGGTCCTCTTGCTCCGGACTTCCCCACCAGACCGGCCACAACTTTGTCAGATTTGCCTGGCAGGTCACATGCACCTGATTACCCTCTTCCCCAGCTTGGGGCTCTCTCTGGAGTTGGTCTGGTTCCATTTGAGATATGCTGATTTGTTCTGAGATCCAATGACTGCACACTGTATTATGGATACTATCAATTAAACACAACAAACGAGACTCCTGTAATTGCATTCCCGGCTTTCAGAAACTTCGGTGGTATCCCTGGGGAAATTGACACTGTTGTGAAGACTTTCATTTTTTTTCCCTAAGAAACTAAAGAAAATCAGCTATATCTGGATGAAGCAGATAACTCCTAATGGGCTGTGTTCTGTTTTCATTAAACAAATATTTAATTATAGCAACTTACTGCTGGTAATAGCACAATACATATGGTATAGTTCAAGCTACAACAGAGATGAGAATGTCTGCTCAATTACTTTTGTTGAGTTTGCACAATGAGCTACTTGCCATTTATGACAGTTAATAAGGCCTTTCTTCAAAGGGAGAAAAGGATCTACCGCATCGACTTAGTAACTAGAAGCTAGAGTACATCTCTGACGAACCTTTGCAAGGCAGTGGGTGTCCCCTGGGGTTGCCTCTCCAGCACCTGTCTGTCCTGCCGCAGGGGTGTTAGCCACGCGGTCCGAGCGCGCGAGACAGAGATGGTGCCCGCTGCCCACTCCAGCCTGAGACAACCCAGATACGCATCCTCCTTCGCCCAAACCAAGAGTGGTCAGCCCTTCACCCCCCGGAATGCGAAGGGGTAAAATGCTGCTACAGGCGGCTGTTGGAGACGATGAGAGAAACCAGACCAAGGACAAAGCGTCCGGAGCGGCACCAAGACCACGGAGGAAGCAGGCGTGAGATGGGACCGGGCTGTGTCTGAAGGCGGCCCCGCCGCATCTGACGGCTGAGGTCAGACCGAGATGCATCTCCTGTCGCCCGTACTGTCATAAGTGTTCTGACATCCAAGGGCGTTTTCCTAGTTTTCTTAGTTAAAATTATACATGCGATCACGTGTCTAGGCTTATGTTCTTGTCCCCGCCAGGAAAGGAAGTCAATTACTATTCACTGCTTCAGACTCCATTTTGCTGACCCTCAGTAAACACTGACTTTAAAAATATTGCATACCATTTGAACAAGTACCAAAACACGCTGTAAGGTGTAACACAAACTTGTGTATTAGCTAATTAATGGGATTAAACACTAGGTGAAAATCACTATTGAATACCTTTGAGAGTCCACAATTGAAAAGCAGCGGACTCTTCTCTGATTTTAAAAAAAATTTACTATTTTATTTGTTTATATAAGGGTTTGCAATGACGACGTATGGGCCAAACCTAGGCCATATTTGTTTCTTTTGCCCACACAATGTTTAAATACACATAAAGCAAAAGAAACACACAGCTCAGCAACTACAGATGAAAAGCAGTTTCTCACTTTAAAGCAGAAATGAGCTGCTGGTTTGGATTGTGTTGTGCAGGGTCCACTTCACCCGGGGGCCGTGACCTCAGCCTCAGCACCGTGAGGGGCTGACACCTGTAACACCTGGCGTGAGCCACTCCCTCATGTTTCGGCAGCCGAGCACGGCCTTATCCAATATACTGAAAAACCACGACAGGGAATCCCAAAACTGGCACAAAACTAAATAACGATTTCTTATTTCAAAAAGGAAATGAAAGTTTTAGAGGAGTCAAAACTTTAAACAGGTCTTTAGCAGACTTGCTAATAGGACTCTAACCACAAAACAGGGCCGTATCGCACCTGCAGGCCTTTCTCCTCGATCTTCTTCTGCAGCACCTCAAGGCACTTGGTGAAGTCAGTGTTGTCTTGGTCAGGAGTAGAAATAAGCTCGCATCCCTGTGTGTCACCAAAGAGAAAAGTTGAGAATAAGTAATGATGTCATCCTTATGAACAGCTCGGAAGCTATAAAAGTAAAGACAAGGCACCAATAGAAACGTCCTATTATGTCAGTATGATCCTTGATCATTAGACTCATTGCTATTATCTTTTTTATTTCACGTGACAGGACAGCTCAGGAATGGTGTCGGAATAGCACAATGATGGTCTGATTGTGACAATCGTTTTACCCAGGAAAAGTGCAGACTAGACTACGTGAACAGTCTTTAAAATTCCCTGCTCTAACGACATTCAGGATGAATATAAGAATACTATGGTACAAGTATTATAAAATATATTCACAGTGAAATTACCTTAAATTAAAACTATTTCTAAGAGACTTTGAATTTCTGTAAGCAGGCAGCCTGAGTTTACTTACATAAATGGAAAAACTAGCATTAGCATTAAACTAATGATAAAAGTACATTTTAGGTAAAACCAAGTTTGGTGTCCTGTGAAGTCCCTTTACATGCCCTTTTCCTGCTGAAGAGGCAGCGCCAAGAGCTCGGCCTCGGTAGGTGCATCTCTTGGGTTAGTTTTTGGACATAATGAAGTGAATTTACAAGTTCTTTGCCTCTTCTACAACAGATACCTTACCTAGTGGGAAACACTGAAATATATTTATAGATATAAAGCCACGAAAAGTGCCAGCTTGTTGGCACCAGTGAACGTAGACGACTGAAGAACCAACAGTTTTTAAAGGAAGCCTTTCTTCCCCGTCTTACGCAGGGGAAGGTATGGGGCGCCAGAGCACGACGGGGTGCCAGGCGCCACACTTCAGGGGCGAACGACCTGTGGGCTCTGACAAACAGCTGAGCAAGGGGAGTGAAGTATAATCTACTGTGTAAAGTTGCCATTCAAAGAGTTTTCAAGGATACAAAACACGCATACTGCCCCATAAATTATTCCAAGAACCATTCTCAGTAGATTTAAAGGTTCTTCTTTAACTTCAAGGTCTCTTTAAATGTGCCAGGCTCAACTTGTGCTTTCTTCCTTTATGACTACCCTACAATGTAGCGACCAATGAAAAAATTAATTTCTCATCATTTGGAAATACATTATGCCCTAAAAGATGTATATGTCATCTTTACAAGATCATCGACATGTCCTTTCCTCACCCTAAAAGAACATTGAAATTTACTATAATCACCAAGCAAGGGCATAAAGAAGCGGCTTCTCTTCAGGCCGACACTCCTAAAAAAGAAGATGTGAGACTCTTCCGGAGCCTCCAGAACAGGATCGGGGCTGAGGACACTGGACTGTCACCAGAGCAAAAGTCGCCCTTGTGAAAGTTCCCTGAGGACAGGAATGATGCTCAGCCATAACTGTTTGCACTGACTGACACCAGTCTGCTACAAAGTAAGTGTTCAATGAATGTTTAAATAATATTCTCGAGGAAGAAAAATGTAGGCCAGCCATAGTAGAGTGTGGCATCTCATTGCTGAATAGCATATATGACAATGGGAAGTGTCTTCTTTTAAGTGCTGATAATAGAAATCATCACGCTAATAAAAGGGAATAGAAATAAAAAGGCAGATAGAAATAGCAAAACAAGAGATGATTAATAGATCATTGTCTACCTTAAAGTTATCTTCACAGAATCCGTAAGATCCACAGGAAAAATTATAGTGAAAGAGAACCCAAGAAATCATGTTAACTGGTCCCACTATACCATTTTGGAGATTAAGAAAATAAAAACAAGAGATTTAAATTGGCTTGCTAAGATTTAATGGACTGGACAGCAAGGTTGTAAGCAGCATTAATGTCACATCTAGAAATGCAGTTTTTTACTCCCATGAAGTGGTAACAAATCCTAGCTATCTAACAGAAAAAGGTTATAACATCTCTAGAGTTGGTTCCACAAAAATGATATTATAAATAAAGTAACTTGAAACATATGAGCAAGACCTCAGTAACATCTTACTTTACCTCAACGATTTAAGATGGATACACGGAAAAGCTTAAGTCAGGGCATGGAGAAGGGTCACCAGCTCTGGAAAATTCAGACTGTGCCCCAAGAACTTCTAGAGACTGGGCTGTTCATTGGCCATCCATGGCTCCTGGGAAATTTTATGAGTTTAAGTGACTCTAATCGCATCGCAGACTGACACAGAATTCACCGGAAGTAGGAAGAGCTCTAAGAGCCATGGCAGGAGAGCTCCCGCCGCCTGGAGGGGAGGCCTGTGAGACAGAAGGGCAGCAGCTGCCTGGGCCTGCGGAAGCCACGCTGAGACCCCGAAGAGAAGACATACCCGCTAACTGGGCGAGCTATCCAGACCTTGCAGACAAGGAAAGCTGGAGGAGCGCCGGCTAATCGGTATCGAGCTATGCTCACCTACCGTATATTCATATGTATTTATAATGATTTATGCTGTAGAATAAGACTCAACTTCCTGGAGTCAGAAGCACTGAGCAATGTAAAAAATTTCACTGGACTTGACGCTTTTCCTGAGGAAAAAACAAAACAAACAAAAAAAAACCCCCAAAGCAAAACAAAGGCACAAAGCACCTCACCTTATAACCCAAGGACCCTTAAGATATAAAAGCTGAGATTTGACCAATTAAGGAAGTATATAATTTTTTAATAAAAAACTCTTAGTTTCCTAATAGATTTATGTATATTTTACCTAAAAATATACAGAAACCTTCCAAAGCATTAACTATAAAACTATAAAGTAGTCTGAAGATACTAATGTTTAAATGGAAACTTTTGTTTCAACTACTACTATCTTTGACTTTTTTCAGTTGCCCGAAATATATTACTTAGGATATAAATTACTATTTTGTATCGTAATCTTGTACTATGTATTTTTCATATATAGTTTTTGTAATTACAAAGTAGAAATTTACGTAACTCAATTCTAATAATAACTTCTCTTTATGAATAAACCACATTTTTCAAGGTGATTACTACTTTTTGACATTACATTTTGTTTTATACTAGAATTCAAAAGGAAAAACTTGGATTGACATCACAAATTTTAGTATATGTCAATATCAAGGTTGTTCTGATTTTGTTCACACCTGAAAAGAACCTTTTGAATAGGAGGAACCACAACACCGACTGCATTCCCTGTCTATACCCACATAATGGGAAAAGCAAGAACTGAGTATGTCAGAACAACTAGTTTAAAAATTCTCTTCTAGTGTGTTGAATTGAACACAGTCTCCCTTATCACAAATCAAAAGCAGGAGACATATAGAAATTTTATTATAAATCAATTACCCATGGCCCAGTCAACTACTTTTTAGACACTTTACTATGTGTCTACTGCTTTGTTAAATAATACGATGTAAGAATCTAGTAGATACTTTTTAATAAAATTGTCCACTGCAAAATAAAAACATGAATATCATGATCAGTAAAGAGGGGTATCCAACCTGTGGCCCGCTGGCCACATGCAGGCTGTGAATGTAGCCCAACCCAAAATTGTAAATTTACTTAAAGCATGATGAGATTTTTTTGACTATGTGTTACAATGTACTTAATGTGTGACCAAGACAACTCCTCTTCTTCTAGTGTGGTGCAGAGATGCCAAAAGGTTGGATACCTCTGAATTATAAAAGATAAATACGTGTTTGAGAAAGGCAAAAGGAAGATTCCTTTTCTTCTTTTTCCCATACTGAGAAATTCCTAGCCCTACTTTGCACTATCCAGCAAGTGCTTGAAAGAAAGTCAGTCTTCTATTTGATTGGTACTGTGGGCACCTGAAACCCCATTTTGACTTTGAGACTAAGCTGCATTCTCTAAAATCTATAATACACTGCAATGAGAGATGTCTATTAAGAAAACTACTGATGGATTATATTAGCTTCTTCTCAACAGAAGTGTAACTGAAGAACAAAACCTTGCAATGTTGAGATCATATCATGATGTAATAAAAACTGAAATAGTTCGTAATCATCAAAGGAACATCATGAGTTCATATTAAAATGATAGCTGCTCTAAGGCCTAGGAAAACAAATTTAAAAGATCTAGAAAGTTACAAGCAAGGAAAATTGACCCAATTGTCAACATGATTAACTCATCAGCTTGGAGGAGACTGATAACTAGAAAGCAGCAAACTGACCACTCTGGGAGCAAATTAACCAAAGAAGTAGAACAAATCATGCACATGCACACACACACACACACACACACACACACCCCAGCCACCCCCCGCCACCACGGGCAAAAATTCCCATCTGGTCAACCCTCACCTGCTCCGCACGTCAGAGGAGCCTCTGGAAACCTCGGGCATTGTGGTCGGACCACACCACACCAGAGCTTATTAGGGTAAACAAAGCAGTGTTAATATGCTCCGAAGAACTGTGCATGGATGCTTACAAAAGTATTTTGAATTTACTGACAACTAAAAAAATTTATTACAAGGCAATGAGTGTCAATAATCAACCTAATTTCAAAAGACCAAAGCAAAAACCATTAATTAGACTGTCATTCTTGGTCACTTAATTTACTGTTTGCCAATAATTTAACTAATGTAGGTTAATAAGTTTTTACATTTAACATGCATAAAACCTATCAGCTTACACTACTGTGTCTTCTGATACTCTTTAATGAAAAATAAAGCAGATCCTTTAAAAAATGATAACAACGTATCAATTGTTATCTCATACACTGTATTCAGAGTCTTGCGCTCGTTCAAAAAAAGGAGGCACGGAGTTAAGTCCAGTGAAAGCACCCCCAGATGTGCTATTAGCTCATTCATTCGGGGCTGAGTCCCTCAGTGCCCACCCAGCTACTCAGGATGAGAAAGGCTGTGTGCAAACGATCCTGCCAAGGTTTGTATGGGGCTCTGAGACTTCCACTGGAACTTTCTAGACTGAATTTATGAGGTTAAGAATTCAGAAGTGTTGTTTCCTCTTAGGTTCCATGCACACCAATTTTAAAAACTTATTTGGAGTGACCTACACATAGCTTCTCACCTAGCACAATACAATGTGTATATAGATGTAAAATA